GTGGCTACTCTAAACTTCTATCATAAGCAAGTTTTTATATTATTAGAAAAGCAACGTGATATGAAGTGCCAGGCTTGACTCTTTCGTGAGTATATATATATATATATATATGTATATGTATATGTATGTGTGTATATACATATATACATACATATACTTATAAGTACATATATGTGTGTGTGGCTACTCTAAACTTCTATCATAAGCAAGTTTTTATATTATTAGAAAAGCAACGTGATATGAAGTGCCAGGCTTGACTCTTTCGTGAGACTTGTCTTATGCATAAGTCGCTACTGTCGCATAACTATATGCATGAATTTTCGCTGCAATTTTAGAGTGTGACAAAATTAGAAAAAAATGGACATGGGTTAAGGATTGTCGACAAAAAGTGGTCGTCATCCTCAATACATCGTGGAAGAAAAAATAACATTGTTGCTTGAGTTGAATGATTTGTTTCTGTTCTAATCTTGCTAAGAGAAGTTTATATAGAGGAGAAATTTTCAAAATAGACTCGTTTACAATTTTATTTTCCAAAATCAACTCATTTTAAATTAATTTACAAAACTTACTCAGTTTCGGCCACATTAGCAGCAAGCTAAAACTGGGTCGATTTTCAAAAAATCGCTTCTTTTTAATTAGTCAGGATTGTTAATCCCGACTAATTAGATGCTGGTTTAATTACATGGTTAGTAGTGGGGGCTAAAACTACAGTTCAAAATAGTCACAGATGCCAACACTGACTATTTAGAAGGTTAATTAACCATGTTAATAATTAGCCAGGGTTGGCAACCCTGACTAATTTGAAATAAGTCTTTTGACGTAGTTAAAACTAGGTCAATTTTTATGAATATATTTGAAATGGATCAATATTTGTGAATAATATTATAAATGGGTCTGTTTTGAAAATTTCTCCTTGTATAGAACAAGAAAGTTTATACAGGGTGCACATTCATTGGCTCTTTTTCTATTTTAAAAAGCGTACTAGATACAATCAAGTGTTAATTTCACAAAAAGTTTCTGAATTTGGATGGCTTTGCACAAAACCTCCCTGGACCATTTTTATCCTACAAGGAGTCTTTTAAAAAACCCCTGAGATTTAAAACATTACCACTTCTATCCGTCTACGTACAGATGTAAAGATAAAGAATCAAAATATGATATTCAAATAAAATTTTGGCTAAATATCATAAGCCCCCTTAAATTTGGACGATTATCAA